TTCAAGTATGGATGTAAAGAATGATATATATTTTGATTCCAAAGACACTAAGCATTGTCTTTCAGCATAGTCACTTTAGGGGAGGTCATAACTCTAGAGACAAAAGGACTCAGAAGAATTTACAGGTTTAATCATTGCACCTTTATTGAAATCTTCACATAAGTCTCCATTTTGATACTTAAGATCCTGTTTCTTCCCAGTTTCCTCTAAGAAAAGACACCCGCTAGGACTAGGAACTTAATTTGTGATGTAACTCAACCCCTGGAAGGATGAGATTCTAAGGTTAATGTCAGAAATCCAACTCCATTGGCTACTGGAGTCTGGAGTTTATTTTAAAACAGGCATAGAAACATGCAGAGTTTAAACTAGAAACTAAAAGCTTTCAACTCATCTTCTCCTTTATACTTTCTCTGCTATTGTTAAGAACAAAATCAATACCTTTAGCCTCATCTGAAAATGTATTCTGAGTTATCAAATGCATGGTTTCTGAGAAGCTTGCCTTAAATAGATATTTGATTATAAGTGTCCAGTGGGGATATTTTGGGTATCTCTATTGTCTCTCCATGTCATGGCTTAGTGATACTCTTACCAATTTGCTAATAGCCTCTAGTGCCTTTAAATCTAATTAGATTAGACAGTTCTGAAAACCCATAACCATTTCCACAAATTCATGTTTAGGGATCTGTTTATTTAAAACCACTTTTAATCCAAAGATCTCTATCAGTATGTATCTGTATTTCTTTATGTTTCTCTGGAGAAGTAGCTTGCATTATGAAGCTAATGAAATTATGATGGTGAGCAATTTTGAAGTCTTTCATCAGTCCAGCAGGCTGGAAATTCCCAAGAAGAAGTCAATTTTATTGTCTTGAGACAGAATTTCTTCTTCAGAGAAACTTCAGTGCTGACTTTTAAGGCCTTCCAACTAATTTGCTGAGACCCAGCCACATTACTGAAAATAATCTTCATTTCTTAAAGAAAACTTGCTGAACATGTTAACCAATCTACAAAGTATCTTCACAGTGTCACCTAGATTAGTGCTTGACAGAATAACTGGATACCCTAGCCAAGTAGCATAAAAGCTAACTACCAAAAATATGAAGCACTCGTCTTGCTCAGAGGTGTGAAATACGACTCTAGCAGCTCTATTCAAAGGCAAGGGTTTAGGGTAGCTATGCCTTATTCTGTATTCTTGTGGGTCACTGGAGGAGTTTTGCTTTCTATATCTTGTTCTGGGGCCAGACCATGTTCTGTGATTTACTCACGAAATGGTAGAGAGAGCCAGAGGGAGAATGTGGCCACTTCTTATTTGTCACTTGGATTGCCATAATTTTGCCTTTGTGTGTATGTGTGGAGGGTGCAGTGCTGTGGATTGCCTTATTTACTTTCCTTGTTACTGAAACAAAATACCCCATGTCTACAAATTAAGGGAGGAAAAGTTTACTTTGTTCATCTTTTGTAGAGATTCCAGGTGATACCTGGTTGGCTTAAAGGCAGGGTGGCATGGCAGAAAGGCATCACAGAGAAGAAACAGTTCATGATTTGAAGGAGGCAGGAACACTATAAAGTAGTAAAATAGCAAGCAACAAGTGGCCACAGCAGGCTTTTTTTGGTCTCTTAAGGCAGGTAACAGTCACACACCAGGTGGGCCTTCCCATCATCCACATTTTGAACTATGCCAAACAAATCAGTGGACTGATTTAGTAATCACACATCCTGAATCCCAGCATCATATCTTTTATATCCAGCCATATCTGAAAAAGTCCCACCTATAATCTCATGAGGCTTTTGGAGGATGTCTATCCACAGGCCATAACAAGGTCACACTCAGGGACTTTCACATAGTAGGCAAGTGTTGTACCACTGAGCCACATCCCGAGGCTTGCATAAGAAATTTTGGTAATAATGCAAACAGTCTATAAAATTAAAGAGGTAAAACAAACTACCGTAGTTGCTTTGCTTGGTTCCCATGTGAGTGTGAGTTGATGATGCTGATATGGCTATTCTCACGTCCTGCAATTGAACAGCTAAGGACCTTAATGAGAAGTTACTCGAAACTAAATTTCTCATTGTCCAATCAGGAATTTACAAGTAAGCAGGAGGAGATTAAGATTTTACAAAGATTTGTATATCACAGGTGGAACGTCACTGAGAACCCATATTTAGTTTAATGGAGATAAAATGGGGGCATCTGAAGGACACTGCCTTTTTCCAGTCATTAAGTTAGCAATGTTGTAGTGACAATGTGTAGCCTTGGTTGCATGGGATAAAAATGATTCTTTATCATTTGCATCTATATCTTTGCTTTCCTCCTCTTACTCTGTAACTCCAGTCTTATTATGAAGAAAAAAAATAGAATAATCCCATTGGAAGAAAATACACTAATTCTTTTTTTTTCCTCATTGAGTTTATCAGTACATTTTAGGTATACAGTACAGTTACATTCATCATTGTGATCTTGTACCTTAACATGACAGGTCTTGATTCTCATTTTTTCCACTTATCCCTGCCCTCCCTTCACCCCCTCCTCCCTTCCCTATTTACAAATACTTTATTTATATTTTTTCATTTTCTCATATTTTTCTTTTCCCTTATTACCTTTCCCCTACCCTTCCCACTTTCCCTACACCTTTAGTCCTTTTCTTCCTATTTCACATTGTCAATTATCTCATTAGGATCTTATGTGCCATTACACTTTTTAACACCAGAAAAACTATTTGGTGTTTAAACATGTGTGATTTGTTTATTTCACTTAGGAGTATATCCTCAGTATATATCCATTTTCCTACAAATGACTCTAATTTCTCATTCTTTGTGTCTGAGTAGTATTTCATAACCAGTTACCATTAATACTAATTTCATTAAAGACAAAGAAAGTTGGAGAAATGATCAGAGTGAAGAGGCACCTGAGGACAAAATATGACTACTCATAATGTGATGCTCTAGGTGGGATACAGGAAGAAGGAGAAACAACACTAGGGAAAATAAAGGAAATATGAATAAAGTCAGGTCTTTACGCAGTAATAATATATCAACATTATGCCTTTAATTGCAACCTATATGTCATATAGTGATGTTAGTAGTAGAGAAAAATAAGGATGGGGCTCACAGGAACTGTGTTAATTTCACAATTTTTATATAAATTTAAACATTAGTAGAAAAGAGCAAAAAACATTTAAATGAGTTTATGTAATTCACTATTTTTAAATTTGTAATTGAGAAAATTAGTGTTAGTGTAGCTATAAAATATATTGTGGTACCTAGTAAGTAAAATGTTTTGAATCTCATGTTAATCTTTTTCTGAATAAATAACTGATGCTTTTATTGAGTATCTGGACAAAAGCAAATACAAGCTTAATCTTTTAAAAGAGAATGTCCTAAAATGCTAATGGCATAGATAAAAACTCTGTTTAAATGGGTCATATTATTAAAAATAATGACATCTTTAAAATGCATACACTAAATTGAAATTTAGTATGTAAAATTAAATATAAAGCCGATTTTAGATAATTAGTTGACATTCTCACATCTTTTCTGTGGAATTTAATTTTAGAAGTATCTTGTTTTTATATACTCAATAAATACTGAAAATTTCCTACTTTAGGTTAAAGGAATAACCACATTAATTTCAGTAAAATAAAACCAATTTCACAATCCATAAGGCTTACTCAGAGAAAATATTTAATATATTACTATACGACATGTTCGTTACCACTGAAAATCGCCAATCTTTTTTTTTTTCTTCAAAGCCAGCAGTAATAATCCATCAATGCAGTGACAGCTTGGGTGACACTTCCCACTCTATTTTACCGCACTTTCCTGATTAAGCATTTTTAGTGTCATCCAACAAACAAATGGCAGAAAGGGATAAAATGGTTTACTCTTTCCAAGTCTGAGAGAAAGACTGATTTTGAGGGGTACAGTTTTCAGTTTTGAAACTGACCACATATTTCACTTTGAAGTCTAAGTTAAGCACTATATTTTGTCTCTGCATTATTTTATTTTGTAGTATAAGAGTATCGATTTCTGTGACAACTTCTACTTTTCTTATGTCTGTCCTAAAGTGAAACTAAGCACTTCATTCCTTTTTTTTTGTACCGGGGATTGAAGTCGGGTCCTTGGGCTTGCAAGGCAGGCCACGGAACCGCTGAGCTAAATCCCCACCCCGAAAAAAAGCACTTTAAAGGAATTTATTTTTAAAAATCCTCGTATGATTCAAATCTATATTCATCGCTAAGATATTACAGTGTTCCCTAAGAGATGTCTGTACTGGACATTTCATACACGGACTTATTTTAATATTACATAGATAACTAGTTTGCTTCTCTGCATCATGTTGATGTGAATAAAATTTTAAGTTCCAGAGAGAATTACTCATGCGCGCAGGTTTTTAATTAAAAAGAAAAAGATTAGTCAACCTTTTTCCAAGAGATAACCAGATGAAAGGCAACTTTTAATTACTCTTTGTGAAGTTTCTGTGCCTCTTGCAAACTCAGGTTTCAAAATGAGTGGTGGGAAGGAGCAAACACCCGAGAGGAGAGGTTAATTGTGTAACAGATCGTGTGTGAATGCCCGCAGGGGTGGAGAGGTGCGTGGAAAGGTGCATTCCACCTCCGTGGATGTCTGCAGAGTGTTCATACTTTACATAGCTGGGGACTGAGACTTTTGCATCTCCTCATTTTCTCTGTCAGTTCTCGTGAAGCTCTTCTTCCCTACAGGCAGTTGTAAACACAATTTCTGAACAGCGCCTGTTTCGCAACTTCTCACACATTATAGGTGTCCTCTGCTAGCCTGGATTTTGTGCTAAATGGATTCCCGTTTCTCTGTCTTTTCAGACCACATCCTTTGAGGTGCCGTAGCACATGGATTTCAGAACCGCCTGTGAGGAGGTAGGTGAAATGGATTTCTGCTTTTCCCACTGTTTCGCATTCTCACACATTATAGGTGTCCTCTGCTAGCCTGGATTTTGTGCTAAATGGATTCCCGTTTCTCTGTCTTTTCAGACCACATCCTTTGAGGTGCCATAGCACATGGATTTCAGAACCGCCTGTGAGGAGGTAGGTGAAATGGATTTCTGCTTTTCCCATAAGTAAAACAAGTTATAAACAAGAAACACTTGGCCCGGTTTTCTGCACGTGGAACACTGCTTTCGGCAGAGGACGAGCGATGGGCTCGTTTCACTCCCAGATTGTGCTTTCTTTCTGTAAGGCTAGAAAACCAAAACATGCCTGGGAAAGCTTTGGATTTGAACTCTTCCGTTAAGAAGACTGGAACGTTCCTAATATAATTGAATTACTCCTGTCCATCAATTATGTACTGCGTGATTTTGTGGAGTGAAATGTTGGAAGGAATTCTTTGCATATAAATAGTTATAAGTTAAATGATATCTAAGGTTCCTTTTGCACCAAAATCCTATAACTGATAATATTAACGTTACCTAAGTTTTTCAAAGTTATTTAAATATTACTAGGTAATAGTTCAGATTCCCTGTAGAGCTGTCATTACACCTTAGTGAGAGTTACATTGATGCATTACTCTTTCAAGGATATTAAAGACCGCTGAGGTGTACCATTCAGTAGCGTGTGGATGTGAGGCCCTGGGGGAACCTAACCATTTCAACTTGGGAAGAAAGGCTATCTTTTTTCACTAAACATGACTCCTTCAAAGCATTGTTTTTTTTGTTTTTTTCCACTCTTAAGGTAAAATACAAATATTCATAGATTAAAAATATTTTGCTTTTCTTTAAAAAGTTGAAAATATTTTGCACTCTGTATGAGTAATTTTTCTACAAAAACAACCATAAATGGATTATCTATGGTAAAGAAAGGCAAAACTTTAGTTAACATTGTGAAGATTTCTATTTTAGCAAAATTTCATGTATTTGCATGTCTAGCATGAATTATTTTCCTCTGCAGCAAGAGCAAAAGTGTCTGTTCAAATACAGTTGTTCCAATGAAAAATTATGAATGTAAGAACAGGTCTTTCAGGAAAACAATAAATTGCTGTTGTATTTTAATGCCATGATTCCTATTTTTTTAAAAAATAATTAGTATAGTTATACTTCATAATTTTCAGTAGAATTTTTCAAATTACATTACAGTTATTTGTTAATAAACCTCTCTCATGTGGTTCACTAAATAGTGCAGGGTTAGATTATATAAATTTATTTATGGTATTAATCCAACATCTATCAGTTCATACATTTTTCTTAATTAGACTACTATTTCAGAGAATTTTATGCTAATCTAAGCTTAAATTCTAATTGCCTTGTCTAGTTTTATTTGGCCACTCAATTTTGAACATAGCACATTTTCTATTTTCATCAAAATGCTATTTTCTTTTGCTCAGCATAGCATTCATTCTGTGAATATTTGTGTGAGTGACACCCATGTGAGACCCATGTAAGTTTTATGTAGTAGAGATGGATAGTGGTTAAATGCTGTTATTACAAAGCTTATTTTAAACTTCAAAGGCTGATATAAGATGCCCTAGAAATCTTGTTAAACAAATTGGTTTGATATATTGAGTTGCCATATCTAGAAAATTCACTTTGTGGTTTAAAAGGTTTATTTTACAATGGGGCTACTACTAAGGTCACATTACCATTGTTTCCATGGTGGAAGTTTCTTTTCATCTTGCAACAAGTTCATTGAGAAATTTTATCATTTAGATTCTGTCCCAGCAGGAAGTAAAGAAGTTTCAAACCTAAACCGCTCAGCACAATACTTATGAAGTCTGCTACCCAGTGTCCAGTTAGCAGGACAAAGAACATTCTGAATACAGTCAGTGTCAGAAGATGGACTAAAATAAAAGTTTACTTGATATTTGTAATGGTAGAAGATTTAAGTGGATGGAAACCATAAAGAAAATTTAGTATAACTATCATTTTTCCATGAAGAATTTGAGAGGTTTTATGAAATGTCAAGTGCTGTTTAATTAGTTGGTTGAAGTAAAGCTATAGGGTCCAGATTGGAACTCCTAATAATAAGTTTAAACCTCTTTGTAAAGTACTACATTTCTGGAAATCATATCAAAGTCAAAGATATATTCAAAATGATTTGTTTTTCTCTTGACTGGTACTAAGGAATAAAGATGAAAATCTGATAGAAATTACCATCAATTCAAGGTAAAATATTGCCCTATACATGCAAGGAAGTTTCCTGTTGGTAAATAAGTAGAAGCCAGACCAGATAATGTCCATTTAAAAGCATCTTAATTATCTAATACATAATACATAGGCTTTTAAAAAGAAATATATAAAACAATGATTGCAATATTTAAATTTTTGAAAACAAAATATTGCAGTTCATTAAAGAATTGGGTTTTGGGGGTCAGAGGTTTAGCTTAGTGGTTTCTCAGCCTGCCTTGCAAGTACAAGGACCCGAGTTAGATCCCCGGTACCTAAAAAAAAAATATGGAAAAATATAAATTCTAGAAGAAAAATTGTACACATAACCAGACATAATTATGATTATATCAGCTTTTAAAAATGTTATCAAATTAATATATATATTCATATAAGCCAATATGTTTTCATTGTCTTTTCTCCATATTTCATTTTCACATCAACTGTCCTTAAAGTATAACTCACATATTTAGGCTAATTATGAAAGTAGTATGTAATTGTCTTAACATAGCCAGCCTTGCACTGTCTCACAGCATTTCAGTTAATGATAGATTATGTCATCTAGTGAAGTCACAGGCATCTTAGTATAAATATGCTGTGATGTTTATATAACAAACTTATCTAAAAATACATTTCTCAGAACCTGTCTCCATTGCCAAGCAATGCATGGCTACTTAATATTTTAATAATCAGTACATGTGTGTCATTTAATTCAGGTTTTCCTATAATGAAATATAATCTGATTGTTTTTCAATTGTAGAGAAGTTAACACTTTCTCACTGAAATTTCAATAATTTCAGTGTAGGAAATAAACTGTCAATAGATTAACAAGAAACAACATACAAAATTCACAAAGTGCAGAAATGCAATATCCGTACACCATGTATGAAACTCAAACTAAAGGACAGGCAGCCAAAGCTTAAATCTCAGTGGAGAGAGGGAAGTGGGGTATAGGCAATTCGGGAGGGCTAGTAAATTATTCTTAGGGCAGATGGGGGACCAGAAGGACAGAAGGACCCAGACAAAGTTACCCTGCATCTTAACATGGTGTTTGGATTCAGTCTCCCTTCTTGCAACATGAATTAGTCTTTGTGGTTAGTTAGATTTCCGGAAGACGATAGAAGGCAATAGTGTTCCTGTTTTGACTAATCCAGTCAGAAAGGCGCAGTAATTCTGCACAATGGCTATGCCTGGTCTGCAAAGGGAGATTATCAAAGGAAAGGCACAGAGACCTAGGGTCAGGGACATCTTCTAAGACCTGTCAGCAGGCCAAGCACCAGTCCATGGAGTATAATTTTCTGAACCTCAATACAATCAACAAATGTGAAAAGAAATTTTACTATTAACAAACTGCTATGCTGGGCAGATAGATTAATTACCTTCAGGAATTAAGAGTAATAATATTAAAATATTTTGAGATAAAATAAATGATGCGATATAAAACAAAGTATTATTGAAGTCATTACAATATGATGTCAAAATGTATTACTGATCAGTTTTGGAGTGAATATTTATTTAATGAAACTCTGGCACTGAAAGAAGTGAGAAATCATCCGCAGAAGGAGTGGTTTCCAAAGGATTCACATAAAAAAGAATCTTATACTAGGACTTGAAAAGTGGCTAGAATTTAGATGAGGGAAAGGCCAGGATTAGGAGCAATCCAGGAAAGGGAGGCAAATGATAAAATAGAATTTGAAGGACGTTGTCTGAAATAATATTTAGTATACTATAGCTACAATAAGTTTCAGTATAATAAATCACAAATTACTAAAGATTACAGACTTACAAAGGAAATTGTGTTTGACAACTACATTACAAAAGTACCTGCAAGAGTATTTGAAATTTGTATTACAGCTTCTGCCTGGTTTATTACATTTGATACTGTAAATTATTCATTTCAAATTACCAACTACCCACAATGAATATATTCATCATGTACTGCAAGCTTGTACTAATAATGTGTCAAGATGCTGTGTGGACCTGAAAGGAGGAGGAAGCTGAAGGGAAATGTCTGTTGCTACCCTACTGAATCAGTCGAGGGACAAGCCTCTTGACTGTGTGAAGAGAAAATGATTTGATGATCAGTGAGGGCAAAATCTCTCTAAACAAGAAACACAATCAAACAACAGCACAGGGATGATGGACAGTCTACTTTTAGATGATAACAGTCTGCTTTTAAAAATTCTAAATTAGGTACTCAGTTAAATTCTTTACAAGGTTAAATGTGTACTTTAATTATGTGGTAAAAAGTAAATTTCTACAGATTCACAACTACACTTCATTGATTTGGAGAAAACACAGGCAACAAGTAGAGTTTTAGGAATATTATTTTTAAGTAACTAAATAAAGTAATTTTTTATTAATTCCTTTACACAAATGGTCTGCAGTGTGAAATTTATGAAATGTAGGTGATACCATTCAGTAAGCACAAAAAACAGTATTTGACTTGTATTACTCTTATGGATCATCTTTAAAATTATGTTTTATGCATGATTTTTAATAAATTAGTATATTATATGATTCACACACATTTCTCCACTTATGTGTGATGTATGCACAGCTGATAAAATTTGGAAACAAGTAATCATTAATTGTTATATTAATAAAGACAAAAATTAGTAAATGGCTTATTCTTATCCTAAAATTAGGGACTAATAATGATTTAGGTAACTTTTAATTTGTGTTGCTGGTACCATGAGAACTTGACAGCTGAGACTGTTGTAGGCTGCACAGCACAAACGGGGACAGGAGAGCAAACCTGTGCACAACCAAATACCATCTTATGACCCCAAGTAGAATGGCTTTAGGGGAAAATTCTTTATTAGTCCCAAAGTGGTCAGGTGCTAATTTGTTTCTTGTGATGAACAGCTGGTTCAAGATGATGTGCTTTGCAGAAATATTCACACTCAGTTAAGATTCTTTTTGTTACATTATTTCCATTATTTTGATTTGGGGCTATTCTGTGGTCCTGGGGATCACATGCTAGGTGAGCATTCTATCACTGAGCCACAATGCCTGCCCCATTAGGATGGTCATTGTCTGTAGCGTGATTGGTGAAGACACAGACCATCTCTGAATGAGAGAAACCATTGCAAGGGGTAAAGAACACAAGGAGCAGCCTGGTAGCCTGGATTCAGCCTTGACCTGCAGCTTCTTGGACCCTGCTCCTGTCCTCTGTGAAAGTGCTTGCACTTGCACTGGATTTTTAGGGAGCACCACAATTTTTGGCACATGCTAAGTATTGCTATTAATAAACAGATAAAAGGGATTTGTGGCAATATTTCAATAGTGAGAATCCTCATCAAGCCTCATAGCTCCTCCTCACAACTGAACCTGGAAATTGACTATATGTTTTATCTTCTTTAATCTCCCAGAGAAACTCTAATTCTAATTGAACTGTTTACTAGTTCCCAACATTCTCTGCTCAAAGTCTAGGCTTCTGTCAAAAGTAACCATATTTCACCTTCCAATTTCCTCAATTTCTTTTCCTACCCTGGAAAAAATATACTTATAAAACATAAATGTGAACATGTTATTTTACTATTCAACTTTGGCTAGGGCCTATCTATTCCTTCAAACCCCTACCACAGCATAAAGGGCCTGGACTCACTTCCTCATCCCACAGCCTCATCATGCAGTCCCTACATAAAGGATGCTTTCTTCCTTTTTCCTCTGCTTCTGTTTTATTGTCTCAAATGAGCCGTGCATTTTCATCCCACCTTGATTTGCTCATTTCCCTTTCTTGATTAAAAAACCCTTTGTCTCCTCTACTAATCAATTCCCCAATTTATTTTTGTGACAAAGCACATGTTTTGTACCTGCTACACCTCCTTGAAAATCTCTGTCTCAAGAATATTTAATTCTTCTCTCCATGATGGTCTCATATCAGATGTCCATTACATCTTATTTATATTGTACTTTTAACATAAGTAGGAACATTTTGTGGTGAAGGGCTGTTGCCTAATTCATATCTGGTTTTCTGTTAATGTTACACTATATTTATAAAAGAAATAAATGTATGAGATGAAATGTATCTTAATGTGTTCTAGCTAAGCCCTCATTGTAGAAATATGTAATTCTATAGCTTTTGAAAATTTTTAAGTATTTGAATGTCAGTCTGTTCCAAGCTCTTCCTGTTTCCTCCCAGCAGCTATTTTTGGGGAGGATGAGGAGCACTAGACTCTAACAAAAATCTACCTCATTCTTTATTTTTTGTAAATTTTGTCCTCTTGGTACCCAAACGTGAACTGTGTTCCATTTTTCTAGAGAACTATCTAATAATTTGGGGACATTTTACACATCACTCAAGCCAGTGCTGGATTTGGCCACATTAGAAAGGAGCCGAGAGAGCCCTTAAGGCTGTGTTTGAAATTTTAGCCTTTCTCTGGATGATCTTTTGTATCTCTCTGATGTGTAACAATAATGTACTTCTGGGCTCTCAGCGAAAAGCCCCTCTGTCACCCTGAAGTTGAAACAGCATTATTTGTGACAGCTAGGGGTAAAATGCCCAAAATGTACTGTGTACTGAGAAATCATCAAGTGCGCTCAATTACCATCACTTGGCTTTGATGTATGATTTTACGTCTTCACTCCTCAAATCACTTAGAGTGCCCGCATGTCCCCCCCCCCGCCATGATCACGTAGTGAGCATGAGACTCTTTTCTTGTGAAAGTGTAGCAAAATAATATTTTAGAGTAAGGGAAGTCTAATTTGCTTGTGCTGAAATATTTTTGTCTACTAGACACATCCACTTGAATTACACTCTAGGACAGATTAGTGGGCATGATTTAGTGAGCACCTGCTGTGTTCTGCTGCCAGGGATGAAGAAAGAATGCTGTCTTTGCACTTAAAGAAGCTTCTATTTTTCATAAAAACAGACATAACTCTTACAAAATGATTTCCGGCTAATATATGATTGTATGTGATACTGGGGGAAATGGCACATACTGGCACTTGGATATATCAGTTTACAGATTGATGTTTGAAAGCTCTTGTATCTAAATATATTTCTACCAGCATTACAGAAAATTATTCTAAAGCAACAAATTCCTGGTACTCTCCATAGAAAATTATGCTCCAGGAAATCTTGGCATTGTTTGCCTGGAACATTGCACTGCAAATATTATGGATAAATATATACCCATAATATTTATTTGTCCATTTAGTTAAGAACATCTCACTGATTATCAAATGAAAATGTCACTTCTACAGTAGTCGTTGCTCCTGATGCCTTTTTCATTCAGAATGAGAGCCAAAGATGATATTCTGCTTCAACCCGATTTCTTTTCGTGCCAGCGACAGAGGGGCAGGTTAAATGCACTCAGAGGGAGAATGTATTCTTCTGGGTGAGGATTACAGCACCCATGTGGTTTGAAAGTGACAAGATTCACAAACTTCAATGATTACTAAGGTGCTGGTCTAAAGCTTATGGTACAAATCAAGAAATTGTTCACAGTCTGCTTTCACAATTCCCAAATATTATGAAATAAAAGCATAGATTGAGGAGTAAAACATTTTGGAACCTCAGTTAAGCTTTTCTTTTTTCACTGTGTTAACAGGTATTTCACTTACCCCCATCTACATCCCCTCATATGTATAAAATATGTGTTTGTGGGGTGGGTTTCTCCACATGCATATGTGTATATCAGCAAGGAGTGATAAAATAATGAAGAGTAAATGTTATGCAGTGTGTTACCAGTATCAATTTTGTTACTTTGACTTTTATTAGTACATGTTTTCAGTACATGATTACATTCATTATGGGGAGTTGGTGCATGTTCATAACTCATCCTAATTATTTTTATGTCCTCTTCCCCATTCTGGCCTCCCCTCTCTAAATGCTTATGATAGAGATGGAAAGTAAATTAGTTCTTGCCTAATCTGGAGCATGTGGAGGGAACAGAAAGAAATGGGGGTAGCAGGTATCTTGGGGAGTGAAGGAAACATTCTGAAATTGATTACAATAACAAGTGCACACTTCTGCATATTCTAAAAACACATGAACTATACATTTCAAAGATTAAATATTATGGAATGTGAATTGTATGCCAATAAGGCTATTGCTTTTATGTTTAGATTTTAACTATTAAACCAAACTTTCATTGTTTTTCAAATGCAGCACAGTGTTTCTTCTATAATCTTATTCTCCAAATGTGAGGATTTTGTAACATAATATTTATTATTTGAATGCCTACTTTGCTTAAAATGCTTATACTTTTTCTCTGCACCTATATTGCTACATTCAGGCCCATTATAATGCATTTTCCTCAGTTCTAAAATATTATACATTATATTTTGCTGTAAATAGGCTATACAAATAAAAACTAAGAACACCTTTTTTTTCTGTTTTGCTTTTTTTTTTTCCCCTGAAGACAAAGGCAGGGATTTGTTTGCTGCAGGATGGTAATCAGGAGCCTTTCAAAATCCGGCTGCACCTAGCCAAAGACATTCTGATCATCCAGGAGCAGGATGTGATATGCGTGTCTGGTGAGCCTTTCTATTCCGGTGTAAGTAGCTCTTCCTTCTGTTGACATTTCTAGTTAATAAAAATATGTATTCAAAGAAAACTCTTAACACATTTTACTTTCAGAGCCTAATCTGGTCCTGCCTGTAGGTTTTGTTCACATTGCTAAGTAAGCCATTGTCCTTTGTGAGGACCTTGCCAGGTCCGCAAGTGTTACTTTAGAGCCTCATCCCCTCCATCATGTCTGTGACTCCTAACGCCTTATGATGGGAAGTGGCGCTTGGATTTTCTGCTTATGAGAGAGTGCATTCCACCTGCTTATACAGAAGATTGGCTGAGAATAGTGCATAAAGGTGCCCCCTCCGCCTTAGCTTTATCTTGGATGTGGTACAAAGGCGGAACTCATCTCCTTGTGTCGGTGAAGCAAAAAGCTTTAGTTAGTAGGTACTGACCTCAGTGTGAATAATTTTCCCATGGAATTGTACTAGAATGGTTCTGTGAACCTCCATGATAGAATTATTCATGTTTAGCAGTTCCTCTCTTCAATGAGCTAACCTGTAGACATATGCTGTTGTTAATCTAGCCTCAGGAAAAAAATCAAAAATTTTCAGAAAGAATTGATTGGTCTACTTAATATCCCCTTACTATCATGGAAGTACAGCAGTGGAAAACTTCTTCAGGTGAGATTAGACTTTATTTGATAAAAAGATTTTACCATAAAGCAGAATAAATTCTAGAGCTTACCATTTGTTATGTGGTAACATTAAACACATCATTGCAACAATGTTGCCATATGTGATTTTAGAAAAATAATGACAACACATTGAACTCTCTGAGTTTTTGATTCCCTATATATTGGCAGCTATGTAACATGAAGATTTAATTTGTTCCTTGCTAACAGACTTACCTTGCAGTGTTTAGCTGGTGGTGAATAATGCTGAATTGAAGTTTCCACATCACTTCTTAGTAACGCCCTATGGGAGTCACACAAGGTCCTAAATCAGTGGGCCCTTGCTAACTAAAAATAATGGGCATTTTGCAGACTGTTAACTATTCTCTTGTCCCAGACAATTTAAATCATCCTGAGTCATGGGCTTGGATATCAAGGTTGATTAAAATGTTCCCATGGGACTGTCCTTTCTTCTCCTTGGTTAGTTAATAACAAAATAGAGGTCTGATTTTTCTTCTTCCTCCCTCTCTGTCTCATTTTCTTCTTTTAGAGAAAAAATATGATTCATACAATGTTATGGAATAAATATATCACATATGTCTTATATCAGTAAAATATAATTGTAAATTTCAAAACTTTAGCATGAAATAATGGTATAATTTCAAACTTTTCATGGAAAGTAGATAAAACACAATAGACCCACTTTCTCTTGAAGGAGGAAATTTTTCATGACAATGTCAACAAATGCAAACATAAAAATCATTTAATAAGGTTCAACACCTGTGACTAAGAAGCACTTTCAACAAAATATAAATAATATTTATGTGACAACAAGGTCTTAATAATAACTTTATAGTTAACACCAAACATTCTTTCTGAGGTCAACACCTATATCCTTTCTACTCAAAAATTACTTGGAAATTCTAGCTTGTACAGCAATTCAGGAAATGAATATAAACAGCATAAGAATTGCAAAGGAACAGATAATACTATGTTATTTCTAGATTTTATTATGTAGTCAGAGAAACTCCTAAGAATGTCACAAAAGGTAGGATAACACACAAATTTAGCAAGGCTGCTGAAAATAAGCACAGCATCCCAGTTTATACAACTAGCAGCAAATTACTGAAAAATGAAAGAAAAATAAATTTACAAGTCATCAAAAATGTAACACATTTGGGAATAAATTTAACAAAAGATGCATATGATATCTAACATGAAAATTACAAAACCATGATGAAAGAAATTAAATAAATGAATGTGTTAGATAAAGGAAACAAACAAATGGAGAACTATAATATGATCATGAATTGAAGATTCAACATTGTTGAGTTGTTTTATGTCCTCCAGTAACAAAACCAGTCAAAACACATATAGACATGTGGTTTATAAAATTAATATGAAAGTTCAAAAGATGTATAATCACCAAAATCATCCTGAATATGGAGAGAATATT